AACCTGGAATGTTAGTTTTATGAACCTCTATTTCCACATGTTCTTACAAACTTTTTACCCGTCCACTGCCAATACAACTTACCTAGTAGAGTCACCGAGCCATAGATCCCGGAATCGGGTTGACTTAACACCGCAAAAAACTCTGACCATGATGCAAAAGTTGCACAAACCAGGGAAGCCGGAATTGTCGCAATTAGGACGAACCAACCTTGGTATGCCATCTTTATAAATCGCTTCGCCTCTGTTCCTTCGTTGCTTTTTCCTCAATAAAAAGCAAAAGGCCGAGATGATATCCTGCGTATTTCACAGCACATTTAGTCAGTGAAGTTGGTATTTTACACGCCAGGCCGACTTTTTCTGTTTTCTGTAAATCTTTCGTGCGTTTCTTCTTGCAAACCGTGTCTTGTCAGCATGTGTAGTGAACGTCAAATAGGTCCCCGTTGGCAAGTTATAAATCCGTTTTAGCTCTAGGTTTCTCAATTTGGAGACTGGTAAATATCATTTGTACCGCTAATAATGCCACCGTCTTGTACTGAAAATCAGATAGCTGTTTTTGAGTTAATGATACATGTAATAAGTACCGTATGCAGGGGCGGGTTGAGGCCGTCTTCTGGGTCTTCAGAAAGACGGTCAGATTTTCAAGTTAACACTCACGGATATTTAAATTTTTCTGTCGGAAGACAGTCAAAAATGGAGGCGGGGTCAACAAAGATAATTTGGAAGACTGTCAAATAGTATCTCCGGACCCGCCCCTGGTGCGACCGGTATCAAAAGAAAAGGAATGCTGGGACCGTGCATTGGATGCACGCTGAATCGGCCAACTACTCAAGGAAATCCGTTGACCCATGTCTCTGACAATAGGCACATAATCGCAAACCACACAAAAGAAAATGAACCTATAGCTATAGGATTTCGAACTGAACAGAACTGAACAGCTTGCGCGTGGAAAGTCCATTCTTTGATTTCACCTCATGCGCAGTAGTTTCAGCCTATTCCGTAATTTTAGGTGCGGAAATCTTTTCTTTGTATGACAACATGACCCGTTCGGCGTGCTATCGTGCATTTCGATCCGGTGAACGGTGAACTTAAAAGTATATGTCCATAAGGAGGACACGGCGGACCAGTCTGACACACTTTTTTTACATTAAATCCTAATTTACCATTTACATTCCATAATCATTATGATATACATTAATACATAACATATATGGTTCAAACATGGGCTCCGTAACCCGAAAGCATCTCGTATTGCGAATAGCGTTATCACACAGATGCTTTAATGTATTATATATGGGGCGAGTATGGGCCATTTATGGAATCGAGACGCTTGCGCTCGGTCGCAATGCGCGATGCTTTCGAGTTATGCACCTATTTCACACAGACCACGAATCCCACGAATCGCCAGGAATTGACAAATTTCAGAATTCGTGAAGATTCGTGAGATCTTGCAAATTTTCTGGCCAAATCGACACGCTCTACGATTCAGTTACGATACAAGTGCGATAGTGTTACGAACATTCGTGGGATTCGGCTGGAATCGCACGAATATTGTCAAAAATTCACAATGCTTTTTTTATAGAATCGGGAGTTCGTGGCCAAAATTTTGAACAGCTCAAAGTTTTTGCCACGAATTCCCGATTGATCAATTATTGCAAGAACTGACTACGATTATATACGAATCTGGTAAGAACTTCACGAAATGATTACGATTCGTGGTCTGTGTGGAATAGGGGCATTACGGGGCCAAGGTACTCTACAATGCGACGAGCAATCCTCGGGCCTTATAAAACGGATTGAGCGTTTTCTAACTGGAGCCTCAAGTTTGTGAGCACTATTTCACATATCTACGACCCCTGCCATGAATTAACTACTCCAACGTAAAAATTAATATTACTTACCACAAGCACAGCGTTTCATTACACAAACCGTTTATCAGCTTATCGGCCCGTTCGATACGCTCCGATTGTTGAGAACGCACTGCTACCGTACAAAAATAACCCGTAGGGGGCCTACCCCCTACCAGGGCGACAGATTGATTTTTCGCAAGATATTCACAAATATATCTTTAGATAAATAGGCAGTCATTTCATTCTCTGCCCTCTACCAGGGCAACAGATTTTTTTTCACAAGATGTTAACAGGTATGCCTTTAGATAAATAGACAGTCATTTCATTCTCTGCTTTTTCAAAATTTCCCTATGATATCTGCCACCCTGGTAGAGGGAATAGGGGACCTATGTATACAGCCAGAGACCCGGATGGAAGCTGGCCAAATTGTTTGTGTAATGAAATGTCGAGGTTGTGAGAAGGAATTCTACGATGGGATAGTTTATTCGTGGCTAGAGTCGTTAATCTGTGCATTTGTGCTCCAAAATCTAAGACTTGTGTTAGAATATGACAATTGACGTTTGAGGTCTGACCCTTCTACAGCTAAGTCATTTTATTGCAGTTTAGCGAATGTTGTTTTATTGGATAACTCTTGGGCGCATGTTTGAGTACATAAATTGTCGGTGTCGCTTGGAAGGCAGATGTTACTACCCCAGCAAGACAAAAAAACGTATTTTACTCACCATCCCCAGACATTCCACCTTGAAATATTGGGAAAAGGAAAATGACCCATGATAAAATATGTAAAAACACCATATTATTCACATTGCGAATCATTGATTCTGGACATTTCAGTGTATTATTTTTGTTGAGGGGTCACAACCTGGATAACAGATTAAATCTGTGTCGTGAGTGACATCTACCTGTACATGTGCATTCGTACCAGCACGTTTCTGAATAAAACATGTTTTTTTTAAACAACGTTTATTCGAAAGAAATGGAGGCAAAGCGCTAAAAGCATTAAATGCTCTCCACAAAATTAAATAAGTAAATAAATTAAACAAATGGATACGTATATACAACAGAATAAATGTATAACTTCAAAGATTTCAGTATGGAGCACAAAAGTTACCAAAAATAATTAAGTACAGAAAGAAAGAAAATAAAAGGAAGAAGAAAAGGATCGTAACTAGTTTACGTATACAACATTGGTCAAATAGAGAAGAGATAGTACTTATTGAGTGATGACAAAGTTTTCGAGAATAAAACATGTTGTCCACTGGCATTTTTTAATGACGGTTGTCCCAGAGGTTAAGAGACATCTTGCTCGACACTTTCAAGAGATATTTTTCGCATTCCCGGCCATTGACACCACTCATTAATATTTATGAGGCATTATCTTCTGCGAGGGATATTATATGTAATCTGGAGGAAAGTACTATCGCTACGCCATAATTTCAAAATGACTTGTTATAAGAGTACAGGAAAGATGTCAGTGACCTCAAGTGATCTGATTTTGATAACGGTAACTCATCGGCTGTTACAAAGTGCCATATACCTTTTCAAAAATCCGACTTGACAAATATAGGCCTATATTAATTCATTCACAGTTTATTACGCTGCCACATTTATTTTTAGAACATTTTTAATTTTTAACTTAAGTCATTTTTGTATGACCTCGAACACGGTAACCTTTAGGCCTTTATCGTGATTAGTTAGAGAATTTGATCTCGAATTCTTTGCCTAAAACGTTTATATCAACATTTATTTCGACCACCCCTCTCCCTTTCCCCCCTCCTGCATAAAGGATTCTAGTTTCTGGTTGCTTGAATAATTTTACAAAATAGACACTAGATTCTGGTTACCATTAATTAAAGCATAGAACCAGAAAAACATCTTTCTATTTCTATGATTAAAGTCACTAAATAGCACAAAGTCTCTCGACTCAGATACACCAATAACAAATCTTCCGTTGCTGGGTCCGATGCCTTTAAGAGAAGGCAGTGAAAATACCAAACACCCAGGAATTCCCATTCATCACATTTTGGGGCTTCACCTGCAGTCTCTTCAGAAATGTGATTAATATGTCTGTCTCACACTTGCTGTTTTTTTTTTTTTGTTTGTTTGTTTATCATAGAATGTACATGTGCCCCGTCCTCTTCTGTACATGGATAGTTCCCCAAAATTACAAATTTCCATTTATATGGCCCATTGCAGTGATTAATTGCAAGACTAGCCAGTCATCA